GGCCGGTCGGGGCGCTGGGCTGAGCGCTCGTTTCCCCTCCGCGTGAACCCAGCCCTGGCAGCGCGCTGCTTCCGCCCGCCCCGGCCTCTCCCCGGTTCCTCCATGTGTCCTAAAGCTAAACTAGGCGCTCCGGTCCCCCGACTCCCCCCAAAGCAGACTGAGGTGCTGTTGTCCCCATCGCCTCATAGCTGTATCATTACCATTTATTACGCCCGAAGTTAATAATTTGTCTCCTCTTCCTCTTGGGCTTAAGAGCAGGGAACCCAATAGATATTAACAGATCAGTCATGAATATTGAAGACCCACTGTGTGCCACATCGCGCCCGATACTCTGGTTTTAGGATATTCTCTGACCAGCTTGGAAATTTTGCTCACTTCCTCCAAGTTCTTGCTGCTTTGGGGACTTTTTCCAAGACAGCAGGCCATCAAAGGGTTCATATTTACAGAGTCTGTCAGTTTACACAACGCATGGTGCCTTTTGTTTTTAATGTCTCGTATACTATTTGGAATATGCTTAGCGTAACAAAATGTGCCCTTGTTTGGGACTTCCACATTTCAAACACGGAATTCTCGATTCTTTGGGAAACACTGGCATCTTGAATGGGAATTTAATCCCTTTTGTATCCATTCACTTTGATAGGAAAGAACTGCTGTCAGGTAATGGTCATAAGGTAGGTTCAATCCACTGAGAATTGATAAAAATTCAGTGAAAAAAATTAATGACCTACTTAATTGTTCCATCATTAGCAAAGTACTGCAAAAAGCCCCGTAAATAGTTCATGAAACACTAGTACCTATCAAAGCTCATCAAAGAAAGTATAATAAAATTAATATGTTATGTCTGAAGTAGTGGCCCAAGGTAATGTTAAAAAAGGAAGCCTGCAGTTTGAAAAAACGTGTTTTCAGTGACCATTTATACAATCCAGGGATTGATTTTTAGAACAGCAACACTAAGATAAAAATAGGAAAGGTATCAAGCTAGCATATCTGATAAACTAGCCCTTTGCACTTTTTCTTTGCTCTCTGAGAAACTTTAAAATATGAAATTTGGTACATACTTACCAGGAAAAGAACTGTAGGTAAATTCTAAATTTATGAACTCATTCAAAAAAATATTTACAGAGTACCTACTAAGTATTAGGTACTAAACTAGGTGCTGAAGTAGTATAGCCTTGATCAAAACAGGCAAAATCCTTGTTCTTACGGAATTCACTCTGTTGGGGGAATTAAAAATACTGAACCAGCCAGGCAAAGATCAGGAGGAAGGTAGCGTGTGCTAAGCAATAACCATTTAGGCATGTTAGAGGGATGGCCAGTGTGCCTGGACTGGATGCCGAAGGAAAGAGTGAGATATGCAAGGGGGTAGGTGCCAGGTCGGGTAGGCCTTCACAGCAGGCAGGAGTACCTATATTCTGAGCATATCCGAAGGCCATGGAGGGTTTAAACAGAAGGGTATAGTCATCTTAATGTAATCAACCTCAAGGTGCTTATTGGACATAGAAGAGAGAGGTGTCAGTGGGCAGATGAAACTAAAGCTTGGGGAAGATCGGGGTTTGATTTATAGATTTGGTAGTCGTCATATAAATGGCATTTAATTGAAAGCCTTGAGACACCTAGAAGAGACTAGATGGGGGAGGGGGCACTTCAACATTTAGATGTCATCAGAGGAGGGAACAGCAGCAAAGCTGCCAGAAGAGCCAGTGAGAGAGAAAACCAGGAGACACTGTCATATTTGAAGCCAACTAAACTGTTCCAGAAACATGATCTGTGCCACGTGTGCTGCTGTAGAGTACTATGGATTTTGCAAAATGGGTGTTTTAGAACAGGGCTGTCTCAGGGGCGTTCAGGGGATGAATGTTGCATTGACGTGTAGTGAGGATAGGTGGTTTGTAAGTAAACAACCGTTTTGCAGTAAAGGGGAGCAGAAAAAAGGGGTGGTAACTTGAGAGGTTTGTATGTTTCAAGGCTGAATGTTATAGTACAGGAAAAAGTAATGCAAATGAAAGAAGGGGTAACTACAAATATCTTTGAGAGGAACCATTAGGAATAGTCTTAAATAGAGTCAGTTCATCCTTTGTAAAGAGGACAAGCAATATGGGCACTGAGGCAGGTACATTTGGCAGTGGGAAATAAGGTAGCTTAACATGATCTGATCTATTTCCTGTAAATATTAAGTTGCTGTTCTGGCTTAGAAGTTTTGAGCTTTCCTTAATTCCATCAAGGTGAGCTGGTAAAGCTGCTTTTCTAAATGTAAGCTTAATGTCTACAAAAAAACTAGTCTAAGATGTCCTTAGTTTAAGGGCTTAAATGACAAGTGAAACCACAAATTAGGGAATAGAGAAATATTAACCCCATTGCCAAGGATCTTACAGTGCATATGCTGAAGAGTAATACTTCGTTACAGCAGTTCACACCTGCTTTTGGAAGCTAACAGTAATCAATAGTCTGAACCAGTGATTTTCAACCCTTTTCACCTCAAGGTACACATTACTAAAATTCTTTGGTGCACCAAAAATATATTTTTTGCCAATGTGACAAAACTAGGTATAATTTTGATTCATTCACACCAGATAGCTGTTGTTAGCGNGTAAAATTCTTTGGTGCACCAAAAATATATTTTTTGCCAATGTGACAAAAGAAAACTAGGTATAATTTTGATTCATTCACACCAGATAGCTGTTGTTAGCGGTTGTCACTTTTCAATTTGACAGTCTATGAGGTCAGAGCCCGACTCAATAGGCATTGTATGCTTTTAATTTTTGACCTTCACCCAAGGAGGTTAACTGATTTTAGAGTAAGAGAGAGGGAGAAAGAGGCGCATCGACATGAGAAACATCAGTTGCCTCTTGTATGTGCCCCAACTCAAGACTGAACCCACAACCTTTTGGTGTATGGGATGAAACACAAGTCACCCTAATGTTTTGAAAACTCTTCGGGCACACCAGTGTGCCTGCTGCAGACACTGAAAATCACTGGTCTAAACTCCCAACTTTTCCAGGTGAGAATGCTCTGCTAGTGAAGGGAAACTGTGGCCGTAAATTTTGTTTATTCTTACCCCATTTTGATACAAGTTAGAGACACATACACAATTATGTACTTTAGTCCTATTACTCCGTGACCTTTGGAAAATGCCTCTTCTGTGAGCCTTGGTTTTTTCCACCTATGAAAAAGACCTGAAGGGTTAAATGATGTAGTAGAAATGACCAGCTCTTGGCGTCAGGCTGGCTTCCATTCTGTCCGCACTTAGTAGCCTTTTATGTAAAGTCAGACCCTGAGCCTGTTTCAGAGATAATCTCACAGAGGTCGTGAGAACTAAACATGAGGGATGTGGAGAGCAGGACACCAATAGCCCCCTGCCAGCCCTATATTGAGACCGTTTTAGACCAGCGTTGGTTTCTCAACCTTGGCACTACTGAACAAGTTAGGTCAAAGGTGGGGCTGGTGTGCTGTGGAATGTTTAGTAGCAGAATCCTTGGCCTCTATCCACATGCTNATCAAAGGTGGGGCTGGTGTGCTGTGGAATGTTTAGTATAGCAGAATCCTTGGCCTCTATCCACATGCTGGTTCTAGAAGGTACCACCTTAAATAGGATTCATTTCTGGAAGATCTTTGTCTTAAAAAGACCTGAAATCTTTTAAACAGATTCCAATTGCCTGTCCCAGATCTGAATATNTTTTAGACCAGCGTTGGTTTCTCAACCTTGGCACTACTGAACAAGTTAGGTCAAAGGTGGGGCTGGTGTGCTGTGGAATGTTTAGTAGCAGAATCCTTGGCCTCTATCCACATGCTGGTTCTAGAAGGTACCACCTTAAATAGGATTCATTTCTGGAAGATCTTTGTCTTAAAAAGACCTGAAATCTTTTAAACAGATTCCAATTGCCTGTCCCAGATCTGAATAAGAAAATCTTTAAAAAACTCAGGATAGTTACCTAGCTGGCTTAAATACCACTATTTGATATTTGGCAAGTGTATTTTCTATACTTGGTAAAGGAATGGGGTTGATAGCAAATGATTCTAG